CCATCCATTTCGCCTGGAGCAATCATAAACCAGTACTTTGTGAGCTCGAGCTCGTCACTATAGAACCCTCGTTAACACTCCAGCAGACTAGTAGAATAGGACCACTCCGACTCTTGGATGTCGTAAGGCGGGCTAAGGGATCAATATGCGAACATCAGGCCGTCTGGCCAGCGTGGGGAGTGTTGAATAAATCCTCCATTTGCTGTCGGTAAATCTGAGTCGTCCTCCTGCAGTGAAGGCTAAATTACTGAATGGGGCGATAAGGGCAGCAGCTAAAATAGTGTGGGGACATCCCCGAACAGCAATGTCAGGTTAATTGTCAAAATGAACGTTGTGGCTCATTCCAGCGGATATCAGACTAAACAAGGAAATCTTATCTGTCATCAACACAATCATACGAGAAGGCATTAAAGAACATCTTCTATGTTCGGCGCATATAGAGCGAGCTAGTGGCACTGAGCAAAAACAATAGTGTATAGCCGCGTGCGGTTCGCTCAAGCATCGCGATGCCGAGATAAGTGTACCAATTTTATCGCTTCCCCAGCTTCGAGGTGACCCAGTAAATGCCCTGATAATCTCGTGAGTTATGAGACAGCGGATTTATTCATTAATAATTGTATCCATAATATTATTGTCCTGATTCCTTTACATAAACAATTCAACAATTCTTTGGCACAAACAAGCAGCCAATCAGTTTTTATTTTGTTCCACAACTCACTGGGGTTTTTAGAAAACTTTGGGAAATGAGGTTACAAAACTTATGTACCTACTTAAGTATACATAAATGTGCTAATGATATTCATGTTGTTCATTATACTTCATTAAAATCAACTAGTTACGAACACAGATTTACATTTTCACAGCAAATTAAAGTAGGTAGGTAATAATATCATTTTGTTTATGTGGCAGTCTTATATGAAATATTGTATAACAGAAAATTTATTATAAATTAAATCCATTATTAATAAATCATTAGTAGGTACATGTTTACACCTTCACGTAACTTACGGAAGTTTAGCTGGACATGTAATTATTATCAGAAATAGAAAAAAAAACAAATAAAACTTAATGAAAATCATTATTGAATCGCAACCATTAAAATCATTTAAAAAGATAAAATTATTACTAGAAAGTTTTTGGATTTATTAATGAAGGATTTAATTATAATAATGATTTATGCATTGAAGCATACAATGATTCCATAAGTGCACAATTAGTACCTAATTGTGCACTTATGGAGTTTTTTGATTATTTTATTGCACAATATAATCTAGCTGCTGTACAAGTTTCCAGTCTTTTTTCCAAAAACAGTAGTTTTTAATTGACAAGTCCATCAAAACAAGTCTTAAGTTAGAATCAATTTTGAATGTACTAGGTCTTACAGTCTGTGTTTAACCTCAATCTCACCTTGATGTCTTAGATGGATCAAAACACAATTATAACTGGCTCTAACATTGCTCAGTGTTCCCCCACAGTGTGGGGCCCACACTCAATGAGGATCATTTCGATTTTTAGCTGTGAATGCAGATTTATAGGGCTAAGAAATCCTTAATACACAGTTCAAAAATTTTTGTTCTACGACAAAAATTGACGAAGTTATGGCCAAGTTACTAAAAAAGTTCACTGACCGCCCGGCGAGGGGACGATGACGTCACTATATCCGATCCGAACGCTGCCGGCGTACTGCGTGGATAGAAAATATTTTTTTCTAGTCAAACTATCAGTTTTAGAGAAAAACTTGTAATGACATTTATTCATCAGAATAAAGTAAGCTATCGATAGGTAATTTTTAAAATAGAAATTGTGAAAAATAACGCAAAAAACCCATACGCTCATACGATTCAATGGAACGCAGAGACGCGATTGGGGTCTCCGCGGTGTGGTATATTTGGCGATTTACTCAATTAAAGTGTTCATAAGTGTTGTTAGAGTCATATCTTCTTCCAAGTAAAATATAAAAATGTATAAGTATTAATTTATTTACTTCTAACAATAAGGTATAGCTGAGGCAGATACACTCTGCCTAGGCTACAAGACATTGCTATGAAGATCATTTCGATGTACACGCAATACCTACCTGTTATTTAGTTTTTCTGAGTTAAACCTACGTACCTACCTATCTATTCGCCGTTCCCATGGGCGGGCCAGCTGCTGCAGGAAAGGACAGCTGCTCCCTCCTGGAAATCTATTTAATCTTAGCCTAGAAGCTGGGTATGACTCCCCCGCCCCCCTCCTCTCCCCAGGTCATAAGCTGGGCATGACTTCCCCCTCGGCCAGAAGTTGGGTATGATTTACCACCCCCTCCCCCTGGCCCGAAACTGGGTATGACTTGACCCCTCCCCCCCCCAGGCCAGAATCTGGGTAAGGCTTGCCCCTCCCCCAGACCATAAGCATAAGCTGGATATGACTCCCCTTCGGCCAGAAGCTGGGTATGACACCCCCCCATGCCAGAAATGCCAGAAACTGGGTATGACTTGACCCCTCCCTCCCCCCAGGCCAGAAGCTGGGTAAGGCTAGCCCCTCCCCCCAGCCCATAAGCATAAGCTGGGTATGACTCCCCCTCGGCCAGAAGCTGGGTATTACATACCCCCCCGCCCCCCCAGGCCAGAAACTGGGTATGACTTGACCCCCCCCCCAGGCCAGAAACTGGGTATTAGCATCATATTATGTATTATTATGTTCAATACAAACAATCATTAAGTTACACTCACCCCAACCGCGTCTCCGCATTGCATCGAATCCTATGAAAATGTGGTTTTTGGACATAGCGATACTTATTTTTCACAATTTTTATTTTTAAAAATTACTGGTCGATAGGTTACTTTATTTTGATGAATAAATGTTATTAAAAGTTTTTTTCTAAAACTGATAGTTTAGCTGGAAAAAAATATTTTCCATCCCAATAGTACGCCGGCTGCGCTCGATTCGGATATAGTGACGTCACGCGGCCCTGCGTACGTTGACTTTTAGCGGCAAAAACGGCCTATGTTTATTACTTAATATCTTCGTAAGTAATGGTCCGATTTGGATAATTCAAAAAGATATATCTTTCTTATGTCTTAAAGATTAACGTAGATACTAGTTTTATAGAATTTTCTACAACAGTACTGATCCTCATTCTCAAATCAGACTGCAGATACAAACGTTTTTACTTGTTTTATGTCACTGTTACACTCAACTCTCTTGTAGAAATTGAATGATGCTTTAAACGTTTCATCATCATCATCATCATCATCATCTCAGCCATAGGACGTCCACTGCTGAACATAGGCCTCCCCCAATGCTTTCCATGTTACCCGGTTGGTAGCGGCCTGCGTCCAGCGCTTTCCTGCTACCTTTATGATGTCGTCGGTCCACCTTGTGGGTGGACGTCCCACGCTGCGTTTTCCGGTACGCGGCCTCCACTCCAGTACCTTGCTGCCCCATCAGCCGTCAGTTCTGCGTACTATGTGCCCTGCCCATTGCCATCAACTTGCTAATCCGCCGGGCTATGTCAGCGACTTTAGTTCGTTTACGGATCTCCTCATTTCTGATTCGATCTCGTAACGAAACACCGAGCATAGCCCTCTCCATAGCACGCTGTGCAACTTTGAGCTTCTGTATAAGGCCTATAGTGAGAGGCCACGTTTCCGAACCATAAGTCATCACTGGTAACACACATTGGTTTAAATGTTTACCATCATGTGTTTAAAACTGGCTTATGGGTTGACCACAAGATGGACAGGCGACCTTATAAGGTAGCAGGAAGGCGCTGCATGCCGCTACTATTCAGGCAATCTAGAAATCATTGAGGGAGGCCTATGTTCAGCAGTGGACATCCTATGGTTGAAATGATGATGATGAATGAATAATGATCTCAAACTATGCAAAGCTTGTATTATGGGTACAAGAAATCAGATATAAATATATGACCTTGAATGACATTGACTCTCTGATTCCAGGCAACTGTCTTCCCTGTCCAAGCATGCAGAGGATATGTTCGGCGAGCTGACGCGAGAGGCTACGAACCTGGCTGAAAGGACGAACGTGCTGCAGGCCAGGATAGACCGGCTCGCTATCAAGGTCACGCAGTTGGACTCTGGGGTCGAAGAAGGTACTTATTATTTATTTTATAGTCAGTAGATGAACTTTGGTCTATGAACTATGTGGGTCTCAATTTGTTTCCATTCCTGGTGGGATTTTTTCGAAAACGGTCATCTCAAATACGTTTTAGTTTGGGTGTGATCTGTGGTGGGAAACAGTAGATGACAAATAAAATTCCGTTGTGTATATTTCAAAAGAATTTAGTGGCTTGGTTCTACTACTATTTTTAACCAAAACTTGGGATTCATATTTTGCTCCCAGATTTGAGCGCGTTAAACGCGGCAGGAAGTGGGAATATTTGTTGTTATGATTTGATTTGGCTGAATCAGTACGATTGTGTTATTTCCTTATTTCATTTCCTCTTCACACCCAATACCTTTGTTAAGTTTGACTAAACATAATTATTATTTCAACCTAAAGTTTATCAAAGGTTAATTTAATTTACTTTCACACTCATTCATTACATCCTATGTGTAGTTAGAGATGATTAGGTATTCTACCTATCACCTGAACACCTAAAGACCTGACTTTGTAAAGCACAGGACTAACAAAAGACAGTGCTGAAAATGTTTATAAAAATCAACCAAAAACAAAAGACTGTGTTAATAATTAACTTTTTTTTTCAGTGTCCCTCCAAGACATTCAAATGCGCAAGGCGTTCCGTTCCTCGCGGGCGTTCCAGCAGCAACTATTCTCGCGCAACTCTATGCCGTCGGCCATGTTGGCGACATATGCGCGATGCGATCGTCCGCCTCCGTTGGAGAGGCTAAACGAATTCCGGGACGACGGACGGGACGCGAGGAAGTTTTACACGGATCCCGACTACTTCTTCGAGCTGTGGCGTAGGGAGATGCTGCAAGACACTGAGAGGATCCAGCACGATAGGGGGAAGAAGGTATGTTGTAGTGGTTGTTATCTTATCTTATCTTATTTAGGGCCGCGCATGAGCGCAGTGCACGTCGACCCATTGGGATCTTTTGTGCTTCCCTATACCTTTATCCCCCCTCATCCGCAAAGATCCTATCCATATAGTGGATCAGGAGCTTGGGTGAGAAGGACCTATATTCTTCTGGTGTCGGATAAGCCGACCCCAGGAGACCCATTCTAGTTCTAGCTAGCGCGTCACATTCGCACAGTAGGTGTTTCATGGACTCCGCATGTTCTCCACATGCTCGACAGCTGTCATCCGTAGTTAGGCCCATTTTGTGGAGCATGTGGTTTGTAGTGTAGTGTCCTGTCAGCGCACCCGTGATCACTCGGGTTTGCCTTCTGTTTCCATTGAGTATGAGCTTTTCCCATGATCTTGTGTTTCCAACTAGGAATAGTTTGGAGTGGCTCATACCGTTGGAGCTTTCCCATTCAGCTCTGTGCTTCCTGGATATATATTGCCTCATGGCCATGTGTAAAGTGCTCATAGATAAGGGCACTATCGGCTCTGGCCCAATAGGTGCCGCCTCTGACCCTTGTCTCGCTAGACTGTCGGCTCTCTCATTGCCTTCGATTCCAGTATGTCCAGGTACCCACATGAGGGTCACCCTGTTGTGCCTTCCAAGTTTATTCAGTGCCAAGATTGCCTCCAGAACGAGTCTGGATCCAACCCTCACTGAGGCAATGGCTTTGAGTGCTGCCTGACTGTCACTTAATATGTAAATGTCACGCTTTTTATGCGCCTGTTCTATATTCCTTACTGCGCACATGATTATAGCATAGGTTTCAGCTTGAAACACTGTTGCAAACCTCCCTAAGCTTTCACTGTGCTCAGATTGTTTGGAGTAGACGCCCGCTCCTGTTCCTGAGTTCATCTTGGAGCCGTCAGTATACCAGATCAGGCTGTCTTGTTGACGTTTTAGTCCTCTTTTCCAGTCTTCCCTTGTTGGTATAGACACTTTGAAATCCTTGCTAAACATGTACCTAGGCTGCATTGTATCACAACCCATGTCCATTATTGCATCTAATTGAGGATCGCTCCCCATCCTTGTGTGCTTGGTGCAAGGTTTGGATGTACTCCAAAGTCCCGCCCCCTTCAGTCTGTGCAGCGCCTTCCTTGCATCTACTTCTATCAGTATACCAGATCAGGCTGTCTTGTTGACGTTTTAGTCCTCTTTTCCAGTCTTCCCTTGTTGGTATAGACACTTTGAAATCCTTGCTAAACATGTACCTAGGCTGCATTGTATCACAACCCATGTCCATTATTGCATCTAATTGAGGATCGCTCCCCATCCTTGTGTGCTTGGTGCAAGGTTTGGATGTACTCCAAAGTCCCGCCCCCTTCAGTCTGTGCAGCGCCTTCCTTGCATCTACTTCTAGCGCCAAGTGCAGTGGGGGCAATCCCAGAATAATCTCCAATGCTGCAGTTGGCGTAGTTCTAAACGCACTCGTTATTGCTAGGCATGCAGTTCTTTGCAATTTGCCCAGTGCCGTTCTGCACGTCTGTAACCTAATTCTAGGCCACCAGACAATGCTGCCATAAAGTATTATTGGTCTCACCATAGTTATATAGATCCACCTCATCACTCTGGGACTAAGTCCCCATGTCTTCCCGTATGCACCACGACACATTCCCAGCACTCTCATAGCCTTAGCTATGACCGTATCTTGGTGTTTACGCCATGTAAGTTCCTTATCTAGGATTACCCCTAGATATTTCACTTCATTGGTCCAGGTTATCTGTTTACCATAAAGGTAGAGATGTCCTAGCCCTGTTGTATTTCTCATTTTTGTAAATGCAATAGCATTCGTTTTTCCCGGATTCACCGAGAGGTGGTTTTTGTCACACCACTCTTCCAGTGTGTTGAGGGCTCTTTGCATGATGTCTGTCACAATAGTTGGGAACTTGCCCCTTACCATAATTACCAAATCATCTGCATATCCAACCGTGTAGAGTGGTCCTTTGTTAAGTTTCACAAGTAGTGAGTCCACGACCAGGCTCCATAACAAGGGTGAGAGTACCCCCCCTTGCGGGCAGCCCTTGACAGTCCTTACACTCATGCACTCTCCTTGCAGTTCTGATTGAATAATCCTGCCTTTAAGCATACAGTCTATCCACCGGCATAGAGGTAGTGGTACCCCGTGGTCAGAAGCAGCAGCTCCTATAGAGACGAAGGTAGTGCGGTCAAATGCCCCCTCTATGTCGACAAATGTCCCAACAGTAACCTCCCTACTCTCAAGAGCCGCCTCCGCCCTGCCGGTTACATAGTGTAGCGCAGTTTCTGTAGTGGTTGTTAGGTTAATTCTAGAATATTCGTTGTTCGATTTGAAAACGCATGTTAACAATTTTCCATCTGAATGTAGCACAAGAACTTGTTCATAAGTTATATTCAGATGACGCTACTTATGCGCAGGTAGACACGCGTTTCATTTTTCTATTTCGTACAGATGTCGCGTGTCGAGTTACGTTCGTGCAAAAAGTTTGGAATCGATATTATCCCGTTTCTTTTCCTTTGTCACTACGTCCATTCATGGCAACTTTCGCGTGCGTGCCGGACGCAGCACTAGTGTCCATAGACCACCGGTCCAGGTACTTGGACTCGCAGAATGGGCCAGCCAAAATTCACGTGAGTGAATACGTGACGGTGAAACGGGTGAACGGGTATATCACGATTCGAAACGCGCGAGTGTTCTCACCTGAGTTGCGTCATCTGCGCAAGTTCTCTTAAGTTCCTGTTAAGCCGGATCTTCGCAGCCTCGGGTCGACCGGCCGCCTTGACCCGCGACTGCTCAAATGGCGACGCTGCCTCCACCTGAGGCACCACTCGTTGCGACGTTGCGAGGCATAGAGGCATATTTCGTCGCCGCGCGGACCTATCCACATTTTGTCGCTCAGGTCAACCGCTTGTCCCAAGCCTGCCTCTAGTGGATACGCGGCTTTAACGAAAGTTAAAGTCCACAGGGCATTCACGAGCAAGTAGTGAGTGACGTACGCGGGCGTATTCTCCACCCATTGTAAAAAAAATATTCGCTATGGAATGAAGAAAAAATTCGCGTGTTTTGCGCTAGATGGCGTCATTGAGTAGACATTATTTTAAATACCTTCGCGAAGATAACTTTCTGTATGTAGTACATAATATTATTGTTCTGTGACTTTAGGCCCGATTCGACCAAACTTTTATCCGAGAATAACTCTATAACTGGCACATTGACAGTTTCAGTATGGGAAAGATGTCAAAACTGACGATTTATTCCGAGATTAATATTTATCTTTTGGTCGAATCCACCCTTAATCATGTATTATTATTCGTAGGTGCGCGCGCCACGCAGCGGCGGCGGCGCGGATTCCCGCGGCACGAGACGCGTGCGGGCCCCGCATTCGACCCGCGAGCGGCAGAAGGCGGCGGCGGTGACGCGCGGCGAGCACATCATGGCGCCTGCGCAACTCAAGCAGCTCGAGCCCGACCACGCCAAGCCGGACCCTGTGTATATCTGTACGTATATCATCATCATCATCATCATCATCACCATCATCAGGTCTTAGACTCTTAGTATGACCACTGCAAAAGGACGAGACGACGAGAGAGAACTCTGTAATTTTTACAGAGACAAATGGAGGACCCACGTGAGAGCGGGTCCTATTCTACTCTGAACCACACAGCTAACATATCCACAACTTCAGTTAGCCGCTCTAGGCCGCGAGTCTCGAGTTAGAGCGATAGCTCGAAGGTCTTGAATTATTTAAGCAGTTGACACTATCATCAGATGATTTAGTCTCCATTTCTGGAGAATAACCCTGTCTAATTTATCAGAGCCAAATCGAGGATATGGGCCGACAGTCCCCACGCTTGCCAGACGGCTTGGGGACGGGTAGGCCTGATGTTCGCATATATCTCCCTTGGTTGCCTCTTAAGACATCTATGGAAAGGATGAGGGTGGCCCTATTTTATTCAGAACCACACAGCTACGAGTACCTAACTGTTAGATAATAAGCCGCTTTAAGGGTCTGACGTTAGCTCTATACGAGCGATGGTTCAAAGGCTAAGCCTTGGAGGAGACCTTTTACCGATGTAGATGCGAAAGATCTACTCTCACTAAACTGGGAACAATACTAATTAGCGCATAAAAACAGAACATCCTTTTTACTCCAAAATGAACTTTATTCCCCAGACACAAGCGTCCCGGACGGCAACTACAAGACGCCTCAAAACCGGCCGCCGTCTGCGCAGCCCGCGCGGCCCAACTCCATCGAAATCGAGAAGCAGCAGAACAGGCAACCGAGGCTCACTGGGAATGGGCACGGTGAGTGTTTGAGTAGTATTTTAGCTTGAACAAATCTGTACTTCGTATTCTGTCTGACTAATGCCCGTTTTCACCATCAAACCTTAATTTTTAAGTGACCCCTATGGTAACACATTATATTTTATGAATTTTATTTTCATAAGGGTCATTTAAAAATTAGGGATTGACGGTGAAAACGGGCATCAGAATGCTAAAAATCTGTGGAACCTTAAGGGGTCGCATGAGACCGCAGTATAATTGATTTCTTTTTCTGTCTCAATTTGCTGATACTGGAAGGGATAAATATAATATCAAGAGGCTGTGATATAAAAATTCAAGTATTCGGGCTTTGGGTATCACTTTGACGATCCATAGTTTTCTGTGTTCCTGACCCAATATTTTTTTCATGCTAATACCATCTAAATTTTCGATGCATTGTTTGAAAATGTGTGTATTAAAATTTTGTGTTGAAAAAAGTATCAGCCACATCGGTTAAGCCGATACACGAGGCAATGGAATTTTATTTATGTAAAAGATTTTACCATTTTGATAAAATGGCTCTTGTTGCGGTTGTGTTTTGCCAGTCAGGCAATATCATTCTGATTTTTTTTATGCATAACAAGACAATGCATGTATTTGTTGACCGCAATCGCACCTGATGTAAGTTAAGATGTTGCTCAAACGTACCACTACTTCCAGTGCAAGAAGAGAGCCCGTACGGTTCGGTCAACGAGCCGATATACGGCGGCAGCGCCTGCGGCACCCCGCGCCGCCCGCGCCCCTCCGTGCCGCCGCCCGCGCCGCCCGCGCCCCTCCCCGCGCCCGACCAGCCGCCCGCGCCCACGCCCACCAGGTAGCATGCAGTGTGTGACGTCACCCCGCCCGCCCGCGCCCCTCCCCGCGCCCGACCAGCCGCCCGCGCCCACGCCCACCAGGTAGCATGCAGTGTGTGACGTCACCCCGCCCGCCCGCGCCCCTCCCCGCGCCCGACCAGCCGCCCGCGCCCACGCCCACCAGGTAGCATGCAGTGTGTGACGTCACCCCGCCCGCCCGCGCCCCTCCTAGGATCAGGCTTGTTCATCTCTCGTCGTCGTTTCAGCGGAAAGACGTCCACTGCTGGACAAAGGCCTCCCCCAAGGATTTCCACAAAGACCGGTCCTGCGCCGCTTGCATCCAGGTACTTCCCGCGACCTTCACCAGATCGTCGGTCCACCTAGTGGGAGGCCTGCCCACGCTACGTCTTCCAGCTCGTGGTCGCCACTCAAGAACTTTCCTGCCCCAGCGGCCGTCAGCTCTTCGAGCTATGTGCCCCGCCCACTGCCACTTGATTTTAGCGATTCTGCGGGCTATGTCAGTCACTCTGGTTCTCCTACGGATCTCCTCATTTCTGATTATCTCTACTCAACTCAATGTCGTCAGAGTAAATACAAATGAGTAGGTCATCTTCGTAGAAACACCCGAGCGCGGTTTGTATGTGAGCGCGCCAACACGTATGCGGCGCGCACGCACACACTGACAAAATTCAGCGCACCTCACCGCTTATCCACGCAAACCGCGCTCGATGCGTTTCTATGAAGATGACCTACTCATTTGTATTTACTCAGATATCGCCAACAATAAGGTGCAATTTAGCTTGCCTCATAGTTGAGCACCGTTTCGTTTACAAACTACAGGGTTCGAGGATATATATCAAGGGATATATATCTTGATATATATTGGATATATATCCGATATATATCAAGCCGGTTTTAATGATATATATCTGGGGGCACGGCAGTGCCCCCGCCAAGTCGAGCGCGAAGCAAACACTGCCGTACCATCCTTTACTGGAACCATTTCGCCGCATTTTCAGGCCCCTATTTGAGAACCTCTGGATAAGACCAGAACGCAGAAATTTTCGTCATCTAGTAAGCTATAATCACATACTTAAAATCCAAAATTTCAAGTCTGTAGGTCATTTAGTTCCGAAGTTATGCGAAAGCAAAGTTTCGCATTTACGACACTCACTCACTCACTGATGATCATCAAAATAGAACTAGTACTTCCCATTAACTCAGAGAGCTGAAATTTGGTACAGAGTTAGGGTTTAATGGCCACATAAAGGGAAAACTATAAAAACTAGGAAAATCGAAGATCTGGAGTAACCCCACATTCATAATCAATACTACTCCGGCACCGTGGTGTTCGCCTGTATCGCTCACCGCTAGATGGCGCTAGCACTAGCAAGCGGTGTCCAGATTTTTTTCCTTTCTAGAGAAAGTCGTCGATTAAGTTGAATGTTGTGTAATTTGCATTTCGTTGATTTCGTTTATTATATTGTAAGGTTCGCTAAGGTTATGTTATTAAAACAATTCTGATTCGTTGTCCATTTTAAAGGTCGTTGAGTTTATTTGTGTTTAATATCGTAAAAAAATGTCGATAAAACGACGACGTTAAATAATTTTGCCACTTTCTACAAAAAGAAGTGAAATCCCACCAAAAACATTCTGTAAAAAACTAGCCAAGTCTCGATGGAGCTGCTTGTTTATCTCTAAAAAGTAATGAAATCTAGACAAAGTCGTGCCAAGTCTATGGTTCCTTACTGCGATTTCTTTATTATTATAGTTAATGTTGTGTGACTTGGCCGTTGAACAATCTTTATTAAGATAATCATACATATGGTTATTGTTGAATCAACGTTTTCCAAGTGGCAATTTTCCGGGTAGCG